TATGCTGGGGAGGTGACGGAGGTCGAATACTTGTTTCGACCTGGCTTCATCAATGCAATCTACGGCTCGTTCAGCAACTTCCCTGTGACTACGCTCATCTCTCTTAGAGATCAGTCAGCCCGCAGACTTTTGCAGGCCTCCAGCTCAGCTCTGCTGGGGGTTGTGTCAGCAGGAGGGTTCAAGGTCGGAGATTACATCCGACTGGCCGACGAGGTCATGCTAGTCAACGCGGTCAGCCAGCAGCAGAACACGCTGTCGGTCACCCGAGGAGCATTGAACACCAGCGTTGCTTCCTCCTTCGCTCTAGGAATCGTAGTCCGCACTTTCAACCCCGGCTCGGTGCTGCTGCAAGACGTCGCAAGCGACGCGACGACCATTCAAGTATCGGAATCATCAGGGTTCAACTCGGACAGATACATCCAGGTAGAGCATGAGATCATGTACATCACCAGCGTCGACGCCTCGTCCATGACCGTCCTGCGGGCTCAGGAAGGGACGCGTGCGAGCAGCCATGCCGCCTTCAAGCCAGTGGGCTACATCCGTCCTTCCCAGCAGTATCCTATCGTGCTGCTGGAGGCCGTCAGCGCCAGTCAGACGACTTTGTCCGTGTCTGACGGGAGTTTCTTCTATCCGGGCGCCTCCATCCAGGTGCTGAGCGAGACCATGGCGGTCACAGCTGTCTCAGGCGACACCCTGACTGTCCAGCGAGGTCAAGAGTCGACCTCACCTGCCGCGTATCCCAAGCAGGTGCTGGTGACGCTTGTGCAAGGCTCGGCAAGCGTTGTATCGGTTACCAGCAGCACGATACCTTCTATCAAAAGATCCTCCATGAATCTCCTGAGTTTAACTCAATCCACTGACGCCATTCTTAATGTGATGGACCCGGTGAAGAACACGTCATCGTCCGGCTTTCAACCTGGCGATTATGTGGGAATTTATAATGACTTCTATATCTTGAAGGAAGTGATGTTAGTGTTGAGTACTGAGACAGCTAGAGTATCAGATTATCTTTATCAGAATCTGACTGTTGCAAGAGCACAGTTTCAGACGACGGCCAGCTTGTTTTCCCCAGGACTCCCACTAACTCTCGTCTCAAGTCCGCGCATTGTGGAACAGATGCTAAGCAAGACGGATACAAACCCTGTCTTCTCCACATCCACAGATCTGCAAGCTGGAGACCTCCTGCGAGTCAGCTCAGCTTCAAATGAATGGCAGATTGAAGTGATGGAGTATCAGTCTGATGGGAGTGTACTTCGAGGATTGATCCCTGATTACTTTGGCAGGTCGCAGGCATCATCCATATCAGCAGGAGCTCTTGTCCAGACCATTGCACAGCCTGCTTACTTGAGTCCTCCTTACTGCACTTCTAAGAGTGGTTCAGATTTGAACATGACGAGTGTCTCTAGCTTCGCTGTCGGCGACATAGTGTCGGATGGCATTGCGGTTTACAACGTGACAGCTATCAATGTTGGGTCAAGTCAGATGACCGTTGAAAGCCTTTATGTCTCAGGTGCTACTCCATTATGCTCGACCAAATTTGGTGATCCTCCTTCATACGTAGTCAAGACAGAGGGCCTGAGGGTCTTGAGTTCTGCTGTGAAAGTCGATCAAGGAAACTTTTTACAAGAATATCCGTTCTTGTTTTCAATCAACTTGCAGACCGTGGTCTCTGATTTCTATGCACCTGGAGACTTTGTTTGGATTGCTGACAAGAGCACGTCTCGTTCTGGCATTTTTGTAGTTGAGGATGTTGGAAACTACTCCCTGAATGTCTCAGTTTTCTCATTGGATAAACAAGATGAACCTCAAATTAATTTTGGGATAGGCACAGCAGTTCTCTACAAGTACGAACGCTTCGATGTGATCAACGGTACTGCTCTCTCCCCAGGAGACATCGTGCTCTTCTCGTGGTTATTTCAGGGCGGAACAGGTCAAATCATTTCTGCCACTGAAAATGAAATTCGATTGAAAATCACTGGCGCAAGATATTATTTTCTCAAAACTCCTTCTAGATCATCTTTGTACTGGCGTATCAATGATTTGTGTAAGACCTTCCAGCTCCTCCCGGTGTCAAAGACGAGCTACGCCAGGTCAAAGCTTGCTCTCGCTATCAACTCCGAGGTCAACACTATGACTCTCTTTGACGCGTCCGGGTTTAGAGTGGGGGACAGCTTCACCGTCGACCAAGAGGTCATGACCATAGACAACCTCAACGGCAACCTCATCCAGGTCAAGCGCGCTCAGCGAGGCACCTCCGCTGCTTCTCATGCGCTGGACGCGCTTGTAGAATGGACGGCGCCGCTATCCGCTGCCGCTCCTCAAGTCTCGTCCGTGACCCCTTTGCTCCGACGTGACCAGCACTTGAGATACATCTCTCAGGTCGGCCCCATCACCCTTCCCAGCTCAATCCAGCAGCTCTCGAGCTATCAGAATGTATGGGCAGAGCTCGACGAGGAGATCATCTTGATCCGACAGCCCGCCTCAGGCATCGTCAAGGCGTCTGATCGGGGGCTGAGAGGAACAGCAGCGGCGGCGCACGTGAGCAACACGACCTACAACGTCCCCAACGCGTTCTTCTCCTGGCTCTTCTCCTTCAAGTCAAGCCTGCCAGGTGCATCAGGCTTCTCAGCTCTGCCCGTATACGACATGAACGCTGCTGGAGTCATCGCCTTGTCAGGGGTTCACGTGCTGTCGGGAGGTAGCAGGGTGACGAGCGAGCCGACTCTAGAACTCACCCTCAACCGCTTCATTGAGAACGAGGCCCGAGGACAGTCGGTCGCAGGCCCTTCGTACTCATACCGCACCTTGATCCAGCAGACCTTCCTGCAGGTTGACCTGTCCGACAAGTTCACTGGGAGGCTCATAAGGCCGAGCCTCAACTACCCAGCTGCCTACCAACCTTGGAGGTTCCCAGCTGATCCTCTTTACTTCCAGGATAGGATGGACGGCTTTGATCCTGCCTCCGACAGCTCCATCCTGTCTCCTTCCCACAACAGCTCCAACGCCATCAACGGGAGCTCAGCTGACCCCTTCGAGCCAGGCTCACCTGTATTCGTGCTGGACTCCTTCGGTCACATGCTGGGTGATCAGGCGGTCCATCAGCAGAGCATCGTGGTATCGGATGGCATCACTTACTCCTACTCCATCAGCAGCAGGCCGTCCGTCCTCGACTCGGTCTGGAGCAGCCCACTCTTGCTGATAGTCTCAACCTCCTCGCCTACATCCGTAGACCTGTTCCTCAATGACACGGTCGCTGGCGGGTACTCCAATGGACAGCACACTGCTCTGCTGTCCTCCAGCACGAGAATGTTTGTCTGGAAGACGGATCCTCGCAAGCTCGCGGTGCTTGCAGGACCAGCAAGCTCAGCAGCCTCTTCGGCGAGCTTCACATCCTCAACACCAGCACCTGTGGTCAACGTCGGCGCCATCGTCGGCGGCGTGATCGGCGGCATCGTCGGAGCTGCTGGGCTCGGCATGCTGGCTTACAAGCTTTTCGCGCACAAGAAAGTCGCAAAGTCAGCGGATGTAGAGATGGCGCCGGTGTACGAATCTCAGGCGATCGCCTATCTCGTGCAGTACACTACACCACCTATAGAGAGCAGAACTTGACTAGCGGGAGTCAAGAAGAGGTGATATGTTCTCATGATCCGGCAAGCTGTAGCTCCTGTAGTTTGCCTCTTTGACCTCGCCATGAGCGAGGAAGCTTTGAGTTGTTGAAATGAATTTATGATGTGTGAACACACGATGAGAAGCAAGAAGGAGAGAAAAGGGAGGAAAAGGGAGGAGAGCAGGTGTTGTACACCGGACCAAAGACTCATACCGCACACCGTGCCCGGCACGTTTAGGAAAATAGGTTTATGTCGTAGACGACAGATGTAGTCTGTCGTGCCCGTTGTGTTCTAGTAACCGCAGCAGTGATTGCTGTGGTGCTCTCTCTCCTTCCCAAGGTTGTGTGTTCATCATGAGGAGAAGGACACGGCAGGGCAGGCAGCACAGGGGGAGGGAAGAGACGGAGGGGAGGAAGAGGATGCAAAGGTCAGAGGCAAATACAGCAGCGCAGGGTCAGGAAAAGAGACAAGCAAAAAAGGATGTAACACAGGTGTGTGAGAAAGGATAGGAGAAAACAGTTCCAGGCAATGCAGTGGATATACTATCTTCCTCATCAGTTGGAACGTCAAATGTTGACCCTTCAGCTCATCTATTACGATGCTTGGCTGTGAGATGTCTCGCAGGTTCGTTCAGTGCCGGGCCCCCAGCCTGACTGAGAAAGCTTCAGCCCCCTGCTCGACGCTCGTCTCACCGCCAGCTCTTGCCCCTAGCAGCACGAACAAGCTCTGTCCCTTCCCCGCCATCCCCGCCTCCCCTCCAGCTGCACCACGACCCTCCCCATCACTCGGCATCGCGTCGCTCGAGCACGGACCTGAGCCGTCGGCCCGCCTCAGAAGCACGGGTGTCGGGGATGTTGGGAGGCAGGGCGGCGCCTCGGAGCCGTCGGATGCGTCGGATGTTGTACGAGTTGTCGCTAGCAAGGCTGCTCAGAGCCTCCATCGCGCTATCCTCCAACCAGCCGCTGCCCTCATGCCTTTGCATCGCCCTCACTACCGCCTCGATCGCTCCCGCCTCCCGCGCCCGCGCCTGGCTGTCTGCCATGCCTTCTGTCATGCTGCGCAAGGCCTTGCATGCATCACACTGTAGCCATCGGTCGCCTGCGTGTGTGACCATGGCGCTGACGACGGCCTCGATCGCTCCCGCCTCCCGCGCCCGCGCCTGGCTGTCCGCCATGCCCTCCGTCATGCTGCGCAAGGCCTTGCATGCATCACGCGGTATCCACCAGTCGTCCGCGTGCGTGGACATGGCGCTGACGACGGCCTCGATCGCTCCCGCCTCCCGCGCCCGCGCCTGGCTGTCAGCCATGCCCTTCGTCATGCTTTGAAGTGCTTTGCATGCTGACCATTGCAAGTAGGCCGAGCACGCAGCCTGCTGTACCCCAGCGTCGTCCGCGTGCGTGGACATGGCGCTGACGACGGCCTCGATCGCTCCCGCCTCTCGTGCCCGCGCCTTGCTCTCTTTGATGCGGCTGACGGTATGTCTCAGGGCCCTGCACGCAGCCTGCTGTACGCTACCGTCGTCCGCGTGCCTGGACATCGCCCTCACTAACGCCTCGATCGCTCCCGCCTCGCGCGCCCGCGCCTGACTGTCTGCCATGCACTCCGTCATGCTCTCAAGTGCTTCACAGGAAGATCCTTGTACCCCAGCGTCTTCCGCGTGTCTGGTCATGGCGCTGACGACGGCCTCGATCGCTCCCGCCTGCATGGCCGGGAGCTTGTTCTGCTCGTGGCTCTCGGCTATCGCTGTCATCACCTCGCATAGACCTTGCTGTATCTTTGCGTTGCTCTGGTGCCTGGACATGGCGCTGACGACGGCCTCGATCGCTCCCGCCTCTCGTGCCCGCGCCTGGCTCTCTTTGATGACACTGATGGTATGTCTCAGGGCCCAGCACGCAGCCTGCTGTACCCCCGCGTCGACTGCGTGCCTGGACATGGCGCTGACGACGGCCTCGATCGCTCCCGCCTCTCGCGCCTGCGCCTGGCTCTCGTCCATGAAGCTGACAGTGAAGCGCAAGGCACAGCACGCAGCCTGCTGTACCCCTGCGTCGAATGCGTGCGTGGTCATGGCGCTGACGACGGCCTCGATCGCTCCCGCCTCTAGCGCCTTGACCTTGTCAGCCTCCCCGTGCTGAGCCATGCTGACCAAGGCTTCGCACGCAGCCTGCTGTACCTCCGCGAGAGCCTCGTACGTCCTCATCTCATGCATCACTGCCTCTATGCTGTCGTCAGCTCCCGTCCTCAGCAGCCTCCATGCCTCCCTTGCCGGCTGCTCCATCCCGACCGGCAGCGCCTGAGCTCCCGTCCTCAGCGAGCTGAGAGCGTCGCTGCCCGTGGACTCCAAGGCGATGCAAGCTGACTCTTGCAGCTCCACGAGCTCTGCGTACTTGCGCTTCCTGACTCTCCTCGCCACCGCCTCGATCCCTCCCCCCGCTGCCTCTCCGATCCTTCTCCATGCAGCTTCTGCCATGCTGCGTATGCCTCGGCATAGCGACTGGTTGCCGGCCCCTGCCCGCTGCTGTCCAGGCGTCCTGTCTGACCATGTCCATGCAGAAGCCCCCTCATCCCCCTCGGCTCCGGCTCTTCCTACAGCTACCGCAAGCTCGGCGAACCTCGGGCGGTCCTCCTCCCTCGTCGCCCAGCAGCTCTCCAGCAGGGCCCACAACCCGTCCGGGCATCCTCCGAGGAGGTGCTCTCGAGGCAGCCTCCCACCCCCGCACACGTACCCGATCACAGTCGGGTCCGTCATGGGGTAGTAGGGGGTCATGCCCGAGGTCAGGATCTCCCAGCACGTGACCCCGTAGGCCCACACGTCGCTCTTCTCCGAGCACCGGCCTCTCTGCATCGACTCTGGGGGCATGTAGCGCACCGGCAGCGCTCGCCCCGCTACCCTCCCGTCACTCCCGTCCACCAGCTCCCCTGCCCGCCCGTACCCCGCCACCTTCACCGACGTCCTCCCCACGTCCTCCTTGTCGAAGCCCATGACCAGCACGTGCCGAGCCGCGAGGTCCCGGTGCACGACCCGCTGCTCAGCCAGGTGCTCCATGCCCTGCGCGATCTGCTCCATCATCGCCGCCTGGTGCCCTCGCGTCACCTGCCCCGCCAGCCTCCCCAGCAGAGCCTCCTTCAGCGACCCCAGCTCGGCGAGCTCGGTCAGCAGCAGGGGACAGCCGTCGGCGTCGTGGCTCTGCCCCATGTAGCGTACAAGCCGAGGATGCGGCCCGAGCCTGAGCATGACCGCGGCTTGTCTGCCGCCGTCGTCTTGCGTGAGCTTGAGCACGGCTACCTTGATCTTGCCGGGCCCTGCTCTCCTCCCTTGCACGCGGAGGTGACCTATGTAGAGGGTCTGGGAGGAGCCTGCTGAGATAGGCTGCCGCTCCATCTCCACGTCGTGGCTGGGGACGAGCAGCGCGTGTCGCTCCTGCCACTCCTGGATGGCGCTGCGGAGAGCGAGGTTGGGTACAAGGTGGTCGGAGGGGAGGAGGGCGCCGGTGAGGGGGCTGGAGAGACGATGGCGGAGCCAGGTCTCGATGGAGGATCTCTGGTAGGTGTGGCCATCGCAGCAGGTGACAGGGTCGGTCATGAGCGCCATGCTGATGGGGCAGATGAAGGACGGGAGCGCTCCCTTGTCCGCTGCCATGGCGGGGCCGAGGAGCGAGGGGAGGGGAGGGGAGGGGATAAAGGGGGTACGTGCAGCGAGGGTGCGAGGGGGTGCGAGGCCGGTCTAGGGAGGGGTAGGGGGTGGTACGAGGAGGGGAGAGGAGGGAGGAGGGGTGGTCCAAAAAAGAAAAGCTAATCCTACCAGCGGCTACGGGGGAAGTGTAAAACTAAAAAA